AACACCAGACAAACAATCAAGCAGAAAACAATACTCTAATCAAGGAACTACCAAGGAGAAAGCCACATCCCCACCAACAAGGCAAGCTACTGTATATAAACAGGGAGCAAACCCCACATTCACTAGCACTGATGATGCTACCTAGTCAGGTAATGAAATGTCTGCAAACAAACAATCAAGCTCAGAGAGCACCTAGGACTCTATAGTTACCTTATTGGAAATCTTTGCAAATCAATATATCAACCACAAAGCAAAATTTATCAGAACCTAGAACAAACAGCTTCCTCAGAGAAATAATCAAGACGCAGGTGTGGGCATTAAGAAAAGCTAATAGCTAATGTTTTAATATAAAATGTACAAAGCATCCCACTTAGTTTGCAGAAATATACCGGACTGCTACCTACCTTAATCTAGAGTAAAAGAGACAACACAAGGATCCTCTATAATCTCACATAAAGCTTACTAAAACTAAATTTCTGTAAGTGTATAGGAAGATCACATAGGAATACACTGTAAAAGCAAAGTGTTTTGTGGTAAATTAAAAGAATAACACATTTATTATGGCATCAGTTTTCATGGCTTGCCTCCCATGAAATCTTAGCTGCAAGTCTCCAATCAATAAGCCTTTTCAGATTCAAAACAAAGGAATTTACATTGGATATTTCACAAAAACAGAATAGGGACAGAATGGTATCCAGGAATAATCTGCTACGTGACACAAGAGAAAACACAAAACTGATTCTTGTAACCTATAGTTCCAAGTTAAAACCACTCAAAACATCTCTCCAGTGCTCGCCCAGGGCAGTGACATTTTCATCTAACACTGATGGATTGCTGCCTGTAATCCAACATAGGTTAAAAGAGCTCCTTAACAGTGACAGATTCTACCACTGAGATACAGAAACAAGCCCCCGCAATAAATCCAATCCTGTTCCGATATATATTCTACTAACACTATTCTAATATCTAATAACAACATCCACAATTTTAAGGATTCATCTACTTCTGCTGATCCTTCTATCTGATACACAACCTCATTTGCCAGCCATGCCCCCAAGGCTGTTTCTGTAAGACTGATGCTGTGCAAAAAAATAAAGACACAATCTGACAGACACAGAAACTGCTCTGAGACACTTTACATTCCCAAGACCCTATATATTCTTGGCTTTACAGAGACACTTATTTGTTTATTTCAGTTTATATGGCCACCCATCTCAGAGGTCACCCATGTGAACTCTGGCCAGCTAAAAACAAAAAGCACAACCAAACAACAGCATAACAATAAATACATAAGCAGCATCCAGGATAAAATTATAAACACACACCCAAAATCCAAGGTCAACATAACCATAATCTCTGGGATTATCTTCCTGGGTCCCACCAGATGACACTTTCACAGATAGGGCCCACAGCATGTCCCTCCTGCCAGATCTGATGGAACAGGTACACACAATGGGGGAGAGATGGTCCCTCAAACAACCTGGCCCCATGTCATGAACAGCTTTATAGGTAACTACCAGTACCTTGAATTGAACCCAGAAGCATACTGGCAAGCAGTACAGCTCATGGAGCAGAGGTGTAACGTGCCCTGATTGAGAAGCACACATAACTGCCTGCACTGCTGCATTTTTATTATTTAATTATTTAATTATTAATTAGACACTATATATTTTAATCAATTCACCAATGTAACAGATCATAATCAACAATTTTGATTGATGCAGCTACTTTCAGGCCATTTTAAGTTTTAGAAAATTGAGATGGAATATTTTAAATAAAGGAATTAAATAGACGTTGAAAGGCCACTGTTTATAATTCCACAATTCATACAACCCCTCAGTGCTTACAATTTTACTCCTATTCCCAACACAAAACCCAACAATGTATATGCACTGCTATCTCAGCATGAAACTCCACCCACCTGAAGAAACAGCATAATTAATAAATGAAGTACCATAATAAATTTATTGGTTCTTAGAAATAACTGGCTGGCTTTAGCAGAACTCAGGTCTTAGACATATAGTATTCAGAATAGATTCCATGTTTATAAAAACTCAGGATTTTTCAAATAGATCTTACTTATTTTTTTCTGAGCCACCATAGAAACCGTTGGCTTCTTTTACAGAATTTGGCCACCTAGCATTTTTGCAATTTACAAAGTAGGTTATATGTTAGGTAGGCACTTCTAACAGTCTGAACTATCCAAGAGAAAGATTAATACCCAATTTGCAAATGTTGTCTGAGAATGGCTCAGCTCTTTAGCTGAATTTAACCAAAGCCAGGAGTGTCTAGTCTTGTCAAAACAAGCGAAACAAATCCTTGCCAACTTAGACAGTTGTTATATTGTGCTCTTACCTGGCACACTAGCTATACAAAGTACATGAGAATTGCAAACAATGAAACTGTCTAGGATATTTCCTGGCTGGTTAGCATCTACAATGATAACTTTCGTAGCAGAGTGGGTGCTCGTACAGATCCAAACAAGGCTTGACAGTTCTTCTTGACTTTTCAGCTCTTTTTGCTGGTCCTGTATAGGGAAAACCAAGACCAACCCATATAAGCATACAGCCAAATCACACATGATGTAAAGCGTGCAATAACAATCTCTGTTTTATGGCGGGGGGGGAGGAATAACACTGAATTGCCAGATACATGCTCCAAATATGCACTTGAATTAAGGAGGTACTAACTAGGCGCAACAGCTGGAGATGGGCAGCCAATAAATTTAAATAAATAAATAAATAAATAACATGACTGGGCCCTGTTGCTACTTCCATAATCCTCAACTCAAATATATATCTTCCTGAGACCACAGCCCTGCTCCGTGAGCCCAGGAAAAGGTGCAGCTTCTTTAAGGCAGGGCCAATGGGTGCCTGAGTGCACCCACCTCCCCTCTGGAACACTTTTTTCCCTTCATTCCTGAGTAGCTGCATATCCCTAATGTTGCACAACTGAGTGAAGGAAGCAATAGCTTAGCATACAAAGCTGGACATGTTTCTAATACTTTACAGCAGCTTGCAAATTAGTGAGAAGGAGGCAAATGCCACAGCAGATTATTAGTTCCATTTTGAAATATATCAGGTGGTTGCTGAATGTGTTGGTTGCAGAAAATGTGGGATTCTCTTTAGTCACCCAGAATGAGCCAGCCCGGAAACCCGAGCATATTCTGCAGTCCTTGACCAGTTTTCAGAGAGGGAGATTCAACAGGGAACAATTTCCTAGCTATCAGAGAGACCTGTATTCATTTCTCTCCCATGTCAGAACTTCAGTGATAGGAGAAGGCACTACAGAGACTGGTCCCCAGATATACCTCCATCCTTACAGCAAATCTATGCCAACTGTAGTGGTGACTTTGATTACTTCCCTCCCAATAAATCCAATGGAAGGTACTATGTTTTCGTTTGCCATTAAAGGAAAAAAAATGGGGGAGAAAAAAAATGCACCTCCTCCCTAACTTCTGTTCTGGCAGGCCTTTTCCAAACAGTGATTCACTTGCCTGCTATGTAAAGCAAACAGTGGCTTTTCTTCAAATTCATGACTATGAACTAAGAAGTATTTTCAGCTACAAACACAAAGCAGATGTCTTCCATTTTCTTCAAGTATGAAATAGTTTTAAAAAGCTATTTGCATTTTGTATCTACCTCTGGCATTACCTTGAGTTCTTGATCCAATCTATCCAAACTATTTTGAGATGCACTTCTCTGTTTGCCGCTGTCCATGTCTGGAGCTGCAATATCATTGTAGAAGACACTGGCACCAACTACTGAACCGCCATCCCGTGTCTTCCCTCCAGATAAGTTCACTCCTACAGCACACCACAGCTTTAATGACAAAAGAACTTGATAAACATTTTATCAGATAAAGCTTTATGAAATGCAGGAAGACAACAATGCTTTAAGTGCAGCCTGTATTATCCATGCCTTTTAAAAAAAAAGAAATGTACCTGAATTTAATAATCAGAGATTCTTGCAAATTGCCACCTTCATCCATCATAAGATCATGCATGAGGGGGGCTTGATTACAAGCCCACCTGGCATTTAGAAGCAATCATCAGAGCCCAGGGCCACCCAGAATCCAATAACCAGGCATTGAGGGTAGAAACTGAGGGCTGGGCAGTGGGACCATTTCCAAGCAGCATACCCAATGTCCCTGAGGGCATCCTGCCCATTACTGTCATGATGTTCCAGCCTGCTCTCTCAATCCCTCCCAACCCAGGCTAGGGCACACATTCAATGAGCCTCCCCACCCACACAACTCACAACACGGTTGGCTCACCCCTCACAAGGCACCCAACAATATCCCAGACATTTTGGCATCTAATTATAGTATATGAGAGGAGACAAAGAAAATAAAAACTCTTCTACCTTCATGGATGTATCCTTTTCATCAAGTGGTCTCAGATAAACAGGCACAGGCAAATTCCTCATCTTGTTGTCACCCGGACCACTACCATTTATAATCTAAAGAATGAAATAAAAAATAACACTGATTTTGATATGAGACTGAGAGCCAATGATTTAATTCTATCACCCAGGAAGACAGGAATCCTGTGACTGCATTTCATCCCATAAGACCTTTGAAACACAAAAAAGGGGAGATGGATATAGGCAAAGTATCCTGCTACAAGTATTAGAAAGCCAGCTCCTGATCAGTTAGTTCAGGTTTTGGATGCTTCCATCGCACGAAAGCAGAAGCACCCCAGTGACCAATCCCCATTCTCTGTTCAGTGTGAAGAGGCATTCCGGAGTGGGATACGCATAAATTGACTTAAGCCTCGGCCTTGGTAAATGGAAGAAGACTCGCAGCTCTCTTTTTCCAAAGGCCTTCACACTGAGGCAGGGTAACCAATCTCTGGCATTTATTGAAGGTATCTGGCATAATTCATAAACATATTTCATGAACCATCTCTTAGTGAAACACCAACAGCTGCTCTGCTCTACTACTCTAATAGGGTTCAATTTACTCTGAGTGTCTTTCTGCCTGATATAACTTCCAGAAGAAGCCCTTATCATCCTTAGTCTTTAGTAGTGCAAATGGAGATTTCGGTAAAGCCATGAGCGAGGACTATTTGTAAGCCCCAAAGGAGAACATGTAATATATAAGGTGGATTAATAGGAATAAGTTCTTCAAGTACAGATAATTGTAGTCTAACTCATCTGAACTACAGTGAAGCCAAATACATAGTACTCGTGGGCTTTAAGCCTAGATTAAGGCCAGCATATTCAAGCTAAAGGAACTCTGATGGCCATCTAGTAATTACTCCGCGCTTACTGAATTCTAATGAAGCATTCTCAATAACAGCTTTAATACATTTAGTATTTTCTAATTTTATGAAGATATGCCTTTCAAATGCCAAACAGCTAGGCATAAGTATTTGGAATCTCAGCGGACCACAGACACCAAATGAATCATGGGTCTGTTTCCACCATGTGAAAAATCTCTGATAACCACAGATTCTGTAGTCAATAGGAATCTTCTATAATAACAGTCATTCATTTGGCTCTGAGAGTACTAGACATCAGAAGTGTTGGCGGGACGGTAAATACAGGCCTCTTTGATCTCTGTTGCATACTTTGAGGAAAATACAGAGTTCTTGTGATCTGCTGGGCTGTGATGAGATCTAGGTTTTGGTAGCTAAAGCATCTCTAGGAGATCAGAAATATGAGCAGTTAAAGGTTTAATTTCCTGGGTAAACTATTAACTAGTTCAGGAAATTAGTGGTGACCTTGAGCATTTTCTTGATGTACAATGAATTATTGGAAAGATTGTCTTTCTCTAGCCATTACTAGCTTGGATTGTGTTCCATACTGGAGGCAATAAGACTTGGGGGAGTCTGTAAAGGCATTTGGGGGGGGCAGGTAACAAAATTTAAATCACACTGAACAACTCTGTCCTTATCCATTCCCAGTGCAAGAAGCCACCGTAAGAAGCTATGCATGTGGAAGACTGCCCAGAGAGACCATGTGACTTAGTATAGCAGAGTTATCAGTCTCTCAGTATGCTGAATCTGAGATGTACCTGCACTGTCCATCCATTCTCACAAATACAAAAGGTTATGGGCATTTTCCTTTCCTTTCCTCTCCTCTCGTTAGTTTTAAAATCAGAATATAAAGAAGTCTAGCTCCCAAACTCCTCTACCTAATTTTTTCAAATTGGGCATACATCTTGGTGGGCAGAAAAGTCACTGTTCACCGTTTCTGAATATTTCATCCCACTGCACTGAAAAATAAAAATAGTTACAATCTTTTTTTTTCTTCATTCTACTCAATTTGAAGGATAAACTTTGCTTCAGATATGGGCTCCAAGCTAAGTCACACAGGCTTTGACTTCATCCAAGTTAAATCAAGTTATTTTCCAAAGCATCAAATCACACCCAAGCCTTATGACTACAGTAACATTCCCAATTAGATTTTTAACAGCAACCAAAGATCTCTGGTCAAGATTTCCCTTTTGTGGAGGAAGAATAGTTTTAGCCTTTATCATATGGAAATGCTGGTACAGAAATTCCAATGACTTATATTGTAACAGGAATCAACTTTCTGGATCAGGAGAATGTCCTAATCCTGTCATCTCTGAGGCAACAAGAATTCCAAACAAGACAAAAGAAGTGATAACCATCAGGGCAGCAAGCATCAGACTGAGCCCACTATACCGATATTCTGCATATTCACCTCTGAGATCTTTGCTTTGACCTTTGTTCACATTTCTATAATATCTATCATGTGCTAACAGATTTAGCGTTCTTTCACGTGGAAGCACTAAAGTGCTATTACTCAATGCAGGAGCTGGCAGAAAAAGATGATGCCTTTAAAAAGTGCTAACTGCACTTTGAACACCTAATCTGCCTGGCAATAAAGAATAATAGGTGTTCTTTCCGCATTGAGAACCCGGAGGGAAAGAGGACAGAGGATGGTGGGGAATATTTCCTTCAATGCCAAGTAACTGGCAGCACAAGATCCATAGGTCATTTACTGTCAGTTCCCTGGTCCCACAGAATGATCACTCCTTAGATAGAAGAACGGGCCCCAAAGGATGCAAGCTACAGAGCTACTTTGAAACAGATCAGCAGTCAGCATCTCCATGGTACAGCTACCCACTTCACCCTGCTACAGAGGTGCTACAGTTGCTAAGTGGCAGCAGGGAAAGGTTTCTACAGTTGTTCAGCAGTCTTCCAGAAGACGGATGGATATGAATCAAGAACATTCCCATTGGCCTAAATGTTGCAGAGAATAGTGACCTTCACAGAAGACCCACCAGCTAACTACAGCTCAGCAGATCACTGACTTCTGAAGGTTCCTTAGAATATCTGCCTAGGCTGTCTTGTGTTGCAATAAAAAGATACACAATTCTTTCATGCAGCAGGCAGGTAGGCAATGAGATGAAGGCTGTGCTCTGATGATATGTCTTCAACAGATAATTAGTGGGGCATTTTCTCACACAGTAAGTACAACCCTAGCTTCTACATGATTTTTCTCAGCATGGATCACTTTGGCATTTCCTTATAACAACTACAGTTGTTTCCATTTGTTTTCTCACTTTAAAAAGATTATGCTCCTTTCATTAAACTATTTTTTATTCATAGGCTTAGGCACATTTAAACCAGAGAGCACAAAGATTTAAAATAGTGAGAAGATCTTAAGATAATTTAACTAAGAAACAGCAAGTTGAAGCAGAGCAAGAAAAAATAGAAGAAACAGAAAACTCTGTCTATAGGAAGACAGAAAAAGAAATAGAGATACAATCTGTAGCATCAAGTTTAGTATTAAAGTCTAGATTAATGACAGAGGATAACAACCCTATTGCATGTCTCCTTATGTCACCCATTTTTCTTTATTTTACATTAAGACATGCTGGTATCCTACAGACAGATACTCACAACCATACCCTGAATCTGATGGATTTGACACAACAGAAAGAATGTTAAACTCACAGGCATGTGAAAGATAACTGATTCTTTGATTTTAAAATAAAAAGGCCGAGGGGTAGAAAATACTTTTCTATCCAGAGTGGTACAGTTCTATCTTAAAAAGTCTTTCACACCCTTATCCAAGAATAGGCTAACAGACACAGAAAGAAAGAGGAAGAGAATGAATGAGAGAGATCTGCACAGTCCTCAAGATACATGAAATACACAAGTTGCAGGCATGTTTTCCATTCTTCAAAGTGCAGCAAGAATATTCCATTACAAGGAAGCCTGAATAATAGGCCATCCTACTCTTCCTACAGTTTAATGACCTTTTATTGCTTTTGTTCTAAAGAGCATTTATGTTTAAATAGAAATGTTGCCTTTTCATATGAAGGCTCTAAAAGCCTAACTCTCTTCATTAGAATATTTGGGGATTTCATATAAGAAGTGCACAAGATTACCAGTCCACAACCATACATCCTTATGCATTTTAGTTAAAATCTTCAGGTTTTAATCAACCATTTAGCAATAGTATAGTATTGTCTTTCCCTTTATGCCTCCTCATGCATTGCAACTTGCAAAAGAACTCCTCCTCAGGATTTTCCTTGCTACAGGAGGCAAGATGCTTAAAAAGCCTTTTCAGCACTAGTACAGAACCAGAATTAGGGGGTAAGTGCTAAACATTCTTAGCCAAACCAACTCTTGCAACTTAATGAGATTTTCTTCTTCATTTTCACCAATACTTAAAATGCTCCAATACTCTTTCAAACTGGATATTAATTTTTCATGGCTATTAGTTTTATATAACCCTTTGTTTTTACAGTTGGTTATACTGTATAGCAGTCATAAATCCTCAAACAACTATTATATTTTTCCATCTTTGATTTGTAAGTAGAAATGCTTTCAGTGATCACAATACTCCCATGGAACAATAATACTTAAACAATAAAGAACAAGTAATACACAAGGTTGGGTTTACCTCTCCTTTGCCAGATGGCTAATGTCTAACACAATACCTGTTTATATTTCTGAGGAAGACTCCAGCCAAACGCTTGCACTCGACCATCGTCTTTCTGAACGTGAGCTTTCACTTGGCGATACTGTTCTCTCTTTTGCTCTCTTCGTGAGGCCATACTGGCCTCAGACCTAGACCAAAGGAAATATTTTTTTTTAATCCAAATCATTCTATTCCTTTCTAATTCCATGTTCTTAAAATGGCATTTCAAAGATATGCAGATTTAGTAAATGTAAAAACAGGTGTTCTTTAAAGTTACTATATTTACCCAAATCATAGTCCTGAATTTAAGATGATCCTCCACTAAAACAGATTATAAAAAAGAAAAAATAACAATTTGTCTCCATTATTGTATTATCAGTGAATCTAAAATTCCTCCCAGTTTACGATAAATCACTTGAGAGAAAACTAGACTTCTGTTTGGATAAATATAGTAATATTTAAAATAATATCATACCGAATGAGATTGTATTTTCTTATTATCTAGAAGAATCACAGAGTAGCAGAAATTGCTGTAGTGAAAATTTTTATGAAATTTTTATGCTCTTCATTTATTTTACAAAGTGGCATAATCATGCATTTTAATATGAAAATCTTTCTAGCTACCTAAATTGCTCTGAAATCCACACAAAGAAGATCTTTCTGACATAATATGTTGTTAACTATTATGGGCATGCTATAATTGGGAAGGCTGGTATTCCCATCCTAAATAGGACTGCCCCTCTTTTGTTTTGTCTCTTATATTTACAGGCTTCAAGTATTTTGACATCCACAGTATGACTGGAAGCTGAAAATGATGATACCCAGCATGTCCCTTAGCAATCTCTAAGAAGAAGAACTTAAACTTGATCTGATGAAGACTTGTCAACAATGATTTAGACTTCTGTTCCTTAAAGGACAGTTGTACCATATCCAGTCCCCAAGATTATTTCTCCAAAGTTACTGTCAAATGTTACATGTTATATGACAGAAAGGGAAAACTATAAATAGTATTAATTGTATTAAATTAACTAATATTAAATTTAATTTGAATTTCACATTAAAATTTTGTCTTGGTGCCATTCATTTGCTTGGCTTAACCCAGCCTGTAATTTTGAGAGCAGCTCCCAGCACACTATTTGAGTACAACACAAGGCCTGAAAAAAAATCTGTCTCTGGCCTAAAGCTTAAATTATTGAAGCTACCTTTCAAAACTATATAAAAACTTCAATTAGTATAGAATACAGAAAGTCATGGATAAGTCTCCAAAAACATATTGTCCCAATACTCTTCTGTATGTCCATGGGCTTTTTCAAGGTATGGTGCATGATCTGTCCTGCCCTACTCATCCTGGAGCATCAAGTTCCAGTATGCTCCAGTGGAACCACTGAGATTCCATTAAGAAAGAAAGCTTGGAGGGAAAAAGAAACTTAACAAGGACATTTCAAGTTTGCAGAGAACTGCTGAGCAGTTTTTGAAAATTAAGGAAGGGCTTAACTTCTTGTTTCTGCAAATATTTCAGCAAAGGAATGTGATGGAGGAGGAGGAGCTCTGTCACTCTTCACCATAAATTACACCTACAAGTATCAGCCAGATTCATGCAAACACAGTTAACACTGTTCTTACAAAGGCTGCGTTATTTATGCCTGTATTGTACTTTCCCATTTACTGTATAAAATATAGCACTTTGGGTGTTTGTGATCCCCTCTTAATAAAACTGCTATCTGTGCAAAACATATGCAAACTAGACACTATAAATGGAAGCAGTGTTCAAAAGAAAAAAGAATGAAAAAATCAGTTAAAATAATTTGGTGTGGTTTTTTTAGTATGTTACGCTAGATTCAAGTATGACAACAAAGGTTCTACTTTAGCAATGCTGAATGAGTGTCACGGATTGTAAATTATATAACTTTAGATATATAATTATCTATTATACTCTTGGGTTTATGCAATATTCAGAGCACTTATCAACCGAGATTCATAAAATACACTGTGTGCACAATTATTAGGCAAGTGAGTATTTTGATCATATCATTTTTATGCATATTTTCCACCTCCAAGCTAGATGAACCTGAATGCTTATTGGATATAA